ACCTTTCTGTGAACCTGGTAGTCATTTGTCTGTTCAGATCCTCTGCCAATTTAAAAATTGCAATTTTAGGGGCCAGAGCGATAGTTCAGCAGTTGAGGGCACTTGCCTTGCATGCAGCCAACCTGGGTTCAATCTCCGGCATCCCATATGATCCCCCACACACCGCCAGGAGTGATTCCTGAGTGTAGGAGTAACCGCTGAGCATCACCGGGTGAGACTCCCCCCAAAATTACAATTTTATTGTGTTTTACTGACTTGAATAACTTTTGGTGATTAAAAAAAACCTCCCTAAGCTTCTATTTGTCTTGGAAATTTTTCTCTGTCCTTCAGTCCTGAATTCCACCTCTGCAAGGTACAGTTGATTCTAGTTGGTAGTTTCTCTCTTGGGCAGTAAAGGCTCCCCTGAAAAAGCCATCAGTGGCTCTTGGATGGGATGGGCCCGCTGTTTCTTGGTTTTCTAGGTGCTGTCATTTGTTATCCCTAGCATGTGACAGTGTTATTTGTGACATAAACATGCTTAGGACTTTGACAATTCATGCATCTGAGGGACCCTCCCACTCAAAAGTGGACTTGTTAGGCATTACTTCTTGGCAGTCGCTTTCTCTCTTCTGGGACTCCCATCATGCATACGTTGGTTCATTTCATAGTACCCAGACATACTTTTGGCTTGCTTTAGTATTATGGTTTTTTCTTCTCAAACTAGAGACTTTCTAAAAACTTACTCTTGAGTGTGAAGAGAGTTTTCTCTCCTTGATGACAAGTGTTGAAGCTCCCAATTATAATTTCCATTTCATTCCTTCACTGTGTTCCTTAATTCTAGGGTTTCTAGCATCTTCTGTGATTTCTATAGGCAGGAGCGGGCTCTTGGGAAGTGTTTAGGGGATCATAGGGGCCCCCTCCCAATGCTTCTTGCTTTGACTATACAGCTGGAAGGTTTATGCTTGGAACCAGTGATGCGGTGCTACTGGAGCCCAGTGCTCCTTGGGGTCATGGGTGGCCAGGAATCAAACTCGGAGTCCCCAAGAATGCCATGTGCCACATGCCAGGAGCTATCCCCTTGGCTCCCGACAGCCAGATTCTTAGATTTCTCATTCTACTCAAGTTTCGTTTGCCTAAACTTGCAGAGATGTCTACGCTTGATTTTTGCTGAGCTTCCTCAAAATACTTGTCTTCCTTTTCTGAGGCATTTGGAGATGGCCTTCTCTAGATGAGGAGTGGCCAGTGGCCCAGTTCCTGGGTTGCAGTTCTGCCCTCTGATGTTGGGGATGGCCTTGCAAGACTACCTTTCCCGTCTGTGCCACTTGAATTTGGAGGCCTAGGACCTTCTGAGGGGCTACGGGGAGCTCTCTGGGGTGTGGGATCAGGAAGGAACTAGAATGCCCTGGAACTACAGAACCATGTATTTGGGGTAGGGGGCTGGGGTCACAACCGGCAATGTTCAGGGATTACTCCTGGCTCTGCATTCAGAAATTATTCCTGGCAATGCTCGGGTGACCATACAGGATGCCAGAGATTGAGTCCAGGTGTGCAAGGCAATTACCTTACCTGCTGCACCATAAAATCATCAAAATTTTGACTATTCTGTTTAGAGAACTGTCACTGTCACTGTCCTCCCGTTGTTCATTGATTTTCTCGAGCGGGCCCAGTAACGTCTCCATCATGAGACTTTGTTGTTACTGTGTTTGGCATATCGAATACATCACGGGGAGCTTGCCAGGCTCTGCTGTGCGGGCGAGATACTCTCGGTAGCTTGCCGGGCTCTCCGAGAGGGGCGGAGGAATCGAACTCGGGTCGGCCATGTTGGCTGCGTGCAAGGCAAATGCCCTACCCGCTGTGCTATCGCTCCATCACCTTAATAAAATAATCATGTAAGAAGGTGAGACTTGACTGTCCCAAGCATAGGGAATCTCTAGTATTTACCATGGGCCTTATCATCACTGAGCGATAGCACAGCAATAGAGCATTTGCCTTGCATGCAACAGGCCCGGCCAACCCAGGTTCGATTCCTCCGCCCCTCTTGGAGAGCCCGGCAAGCTACTGAAAGTATCTTGCCCGCACAGAAAAGCCTGGCAAGCTAACCATGACGTATTCGATATGCCAAACACAGTAACAACAAGTCTCACGATGGAGACATTACTGGGCCCCCTCGAACAAATCCATGATCAATGGGAGGACAGTACTACAGGACAGTGCTACAGTGCTTATTATCAATGTTACTATATAAATAATGTTTTTCTCCCAAACCATAGCTCGGGGAGAGTTAGCTTATCTTTAGAATTGTGTGTGTGAATAGAGTCAATTTTGGCACAGAGTGGTGCTGCTATAAAGTGTTGTCTGAAAGCAGTGTAGCAGGAAAGAGAAAAAGATGGTCAGCGAGAACCAGAGCTCCCGGTGTGCCCTGCATGGCCATCCTTAAAGATTGGAAAGTACTCATGCTGAAGAAAGGAGAAGGGAAAACAGATAGAAACTCCTGCCATCCTGCGTGGCGGGTTCTCAGGAGGAACCCCAGGGGACCTTCAGGAATGCCTGAGGGAATGCCCCTAAGAGAGTCTGAAAGGAAGATGCAGAGAAAAAACATTTTCAGGGTGAGGAGGTAAAATCACCTTTCTGCCAGTGACTAAGCACCCCAAGGGCTTCTAGCGAGAGGGATCTTCAGATCTCCGAGAGGGCAAGACAGTCAGTTCTCCGGGTCCCCTTTTTATCACAGGGTCATCAGGCAAGTCAATCAGTGGAGGAGAGAGCAGAGGGCCAGGATGAGCGCCACTGCCTGCTGCGCTGCATGTTAGAAGGCCGGCGGAAGAAAGGGGTGAGAGAGGAGACAACCTGAATCCAGCCAGTTTACTGTGGTGGATTCCTGGCTGCCTCTCACCAAATGGAGCTGGTGAAGAAGTTCAGGCTTTTGTCCTCAAGCAGTCTAAATGGAAAGCAAGGGACCGGAGAGCAAAATGGCTGAATTCAATAAAAGACTTTATTTAGGAAAACAGAAAGGAAAGGAGAGAAGTGCAGGGCAGCTCTCAGTTTATGGGCGGGGTCTCCCAAAGCAGAATGTGCTCATCTTTTCATTTTATTTCCTTTTATTGGAAGTGGGTGAGCTGGACCACATCTGGCATTGTTCAGGGGCTAGCTCCAGCTTTCTGTTTACAGGTTTCTCCCAGTTTTGCTCTCGGGATCATGTAGTGTCAGGAATGGAACCTAGGCTTCCCATATGCAGATCATGTGCTCAGCAATTTGAGCCCTCTCCTTGGCCTCATCTTTAGAATTTAAATGATTCCCAAAATAGTTTGAAAGTTTCTCATAAGCTCAAAAGGCTAGAACGCACCCTTTGCATGTGAGAGGCCTGGGTTCAACCCCCAGAATCACATAGTCTCCTGAGCATTGTCAGGAGTAACTGCTAGCAGCAAGTGAGAGCAACCCCGAAACATGACCAGGTATGCATCAAAACCAAAAAATGAACTAATCAAAAATTAAAATTTCTCAAAATATTGACACGTTAACTTAAAATAGAGCTGGAGCAGTGGTATAGTGGGTAAGGTGCTTGCCTTGCCTGCAGCTGACCCAAGTTCAATCCACATCATTCCATAGGGTCCCCCACCAGAAGTTATCGCTGAGTTCAGGGTCATGAGTAATCCCTGAGTAACCCCTGATGTGGCCCCAAAACCTAAACGCATCACTGTCACTGTCCTCCCGTTGTTCATCGATTTGCTCGAGCGGGCCCAGTAACCTGTCTATCATGAGACTTGTTGTTACTGTGTTTGGCATATCGAATACATCACGGGGAGCTTGCCAGGCTTTGCCGGGCGGGCAAGATACTCTTGGTAGCTTGCCGGGCTCTCCGAGAGGGGCGGAGGAATCGAACTCGGGTTGGCCATGTTGGCTGTGTGCAAGGCAAACGCCCTACCCACTGTGCTATCGCTCCTGCCCAAATGCATCAAATGACTTAAAATATTTTCTCTGCCTCCATGAATCATTTCTCTTAAATTTAGATAACTGCAAGTATATTATACATACTCATCACTTTGTGCATATTTGATTCATTCATTGAAAAATATTTACTACATATCAACTGTAGGCCAGGTTTGGTAAAACAACAGAGACAATGATAAACAACTAGACAAGCTCACCATGTAATTTAGTTGGAAAACAGAAATAGATAAGATCCTGTCAGTGTGAGAGGGGTCCAGCAGCTGCATTTCCATGCTCATTCCACAGAAATACTTCCACTGACATCTCTGAGACCTAGGTGAGTCCGTGGTTGCATATGATGAGATGGGCTTTTATTGCCTGAGAGTGTCCTCAGGCTCATTTCTTTCAAGAAGATTTGAGAAATTCCCCATGACAATCACCACGATGGTGAGGGAGGGGGGAGTCCAATGTGCTCCCCTCTGCAAGGAGCAGGGCAAGCAGCACCTAGAGTGGTGTGGCCCTGTGCTAGTTGGGAGGTTCTAAGAATGCGCCTACAACATGTGAGGTTCTTCTGAGCATAGCAACTGCTCTTCAAAGCCTGGCAGTGGATGTTCCATTGTGGGAGGAGATGCCAAGAGCCCATTCATCCCCAAGGCCTCACAGTGGTTTGAGGAGATAGGCGCAAAGCACTTCCAAAAGGGTCTCGATGGATTTTTCTAAGATAACCAACATTATTCGCAATACACACAGAAACCAGTGCCCATGTGGCCGTTGCATATCCAAAAGGTATACTGAGTCTTTAACTTAGGAAATAAACTTTGAATTCTGGCCCAAGGTAAGTAAAGGCATTCTTGTTTTTGTTTGCAGTTTTCTGGTTAGAGACCAGGGTTCTCACATGGAGAAAGCCATTCAAGCTAGTTTCCTGGCCTCAGCACTTTGGATTAGTGACTTTGAAAGTAAATCTCTGAGGCAGCACTGTCATTAAAATCCTTTGCAATGACAAAAATCATTAGCACCCAGATAGGAACCAGTGGGCAAAATAGTGTCTAGCTAGTGAAGCAATATTAGCTGGGAATATAAAAATTTAAAACTCTGACCTGGATTTTCCATTGACATGAAGACAGTTTCTCCTGAGAATGGAAACAGCGTGAGTGTGTCCTCATAGACCATCTTGTGTTTGAAGGTGTAACCAGAGAAGAAGACGGAGAGGAAGGCAGTCTGTGCACCAACACTGAGAATGTACCAGTATGCCACCTCGTGCAGGCAGACTGACAGTTGTAAGTTATCAAACATGTAACCATTTATGCCTGCAAAAGACACAGGAATTCAGAGGTTTGAACAATAGCCGAACTTCCTGGACTGGATTGTCATAATATGTTCTAAGTAATTATTTGTTGTGTCCGTTGCCTTGCTCCCCCAAACAGAGAGAGCATTATTTTCCTCACAGTCAACTGTGGATACTGGACGAGCTAAGTTCCAGTCCCAAGAGAAAAGAACACAGTAGCCAGTGACACTGAAATTTGTGTTATGCACAACGTCTTTGCCCCCATGCACCCCATGTCTTTAATCCTTGCCTAACAGGATATCTTAGGTATTTCAAGGTTGTGGTTTTATTTCTGGAGAAACTTCCATCTTTATTAACTAGGGCCTATGTGCAAGAAGTTAAAAGTGAAGTTGTGGGCTGGAGTGATACTACAGTGGGTAGGGCACTTGCCTCGTATGCAACCAATGCAGGTTTGATCCCCGGCACCACATATGATTCCCTCTGCCCACAAGGAGCCATCTCTGAGTGCATATCTAGGAGTAAGACCTGAGCACTGCTGGATATGGCCCAACCCCCCCCCAAAAGAGAGAGAAAGTACAATAGGAACAGGTTACCCCCATTTTCCTTCAGCCATTATCATGTTTTCCCTAGGGAGTGAAAATGGCCTGAACCCTCAAACCTCCCCAAATTTAAAAAATCAATAAATGGAGTTCCTAAAACGATAGCATGTTAATTCTTCATAGAAAAAGGTAAGCAATAAGAGGGAAGGTAGATCCTGTTCCCTCAGCTTGGTGGGAATTCCTCCTTAAATAAATGTCCTTAAATGCGACCCCCAACTTGAGGCTGAAGCATTGGAAGATTCCTCTATCAAATATAAAATTTGGCCAAAAAACAACAACAACAAAGTTTCTGTCACCCTCAAAAACAAATAAACAGGGGCTGGAGCGATAGCACAGCAGGTAGGGTGTTTGCCTTGCACGCGGCCAACCCGGGTTCAATTCCCAGCATCCCATATGGTCCCCTGAGCACCGCCAGGAGTAATTGAACCAGGAGTAACCCCTGTGCATTGCCAGGTGTGTGACCCCAAAAGAAAAAAAAGTTGAAAACATAAAGCACTAGAGCAAATGCAAAATAAGGGAATGTGATGCTCTGTCCTTCCTCTCTGCTAAGTGATGACCTTGTAAATTTCTGCAAGTGCTTATTTGTCTTCTAAGTAACTTTTGCATTGTGTCTATTCAAACCTTTAGTTCATTTAGGTGTGTTCTTATAACAGTCAGATTTGCAACTATTTTCTAAAGCTATCTGACTTGTCTTTTCACTGTCTTTATCATTATCAATTTCAGAACAAAAGATTATCAATTTCTCCCACCAGTGGCTCTAGCTGGGGTATGTCAATGTTGGGGATGTCAATTTCCTCCACACACACACCTGCAGTCAGAACTCTGGAGATCATATGCCCTGTGGCCAATCTGAGGGTCTCCCTCACTATTACAAGGTCGGCGATTTTAGCCACAGGGCAACACACCAGGACTTCCCAATATTTTGATTGTGGGGTGGAATGGAAGGATTTGACAGTGGGATCACACTGTCACAAGCACTGTCATACTTGCAAATGTTATGTTTGCATACACCTACTGTCAGTGTTCTAGAGCTGGCATGTTCTGTGGCAACTATGGTGGTACCAAACGGTACGGAGGAATGTTTGGCCAAAACAGGACACTGAATCCATGTCTTTGAGTTTAAAACACAGAGCATTTTAGCCACAAACACACCCCCAAGGGTTGCCAAATTCTTCTTTTTTTCTGAGGATTTGACTGGGGGCTGAACTGTCATACTTGAAAACACCTGCCATCAGTGCTCTGAGGATCAAACGTGCCATGGCCACTCTGGGATCCCCAGCTGCACAGTCGGCCCATCTATGCTGCACTGGGGCTTGATGGAACTCAGGGCCTTGCATTTTAAAGACAGGATACTTTAGTCACAAAGCCACCCCTCGGGTCTGCAAAAAGTTTTGATTTTGAGGACAATTTGAGCAGGGAATTGCACTGCCATTCTCGCACACTACTGTGGGTGTTGAGCTATCACATATTCTGTGGTCACTCCGGGGCTCCCAAATGGGACCGCCAGGGCATGAGGGCAGAACTGGGGAGTGGACTCGGTGTAGTGTTTTCATGTCAGGAAGTTTTAGCTACTAATCTACCTAGAAGGGCTCCAAGGGTTTTATTTGGGGAGGGATTTAACTGGGAGACAGCATTGTAGTGCCCATATGCGCCTACTTTGTGCTCATAAGCACATGCCTCTGTGGCCACTCCAGGGGTCCCGAACATGTGGGCACCTGTGGCCAGTATAGGGGACTCAACACAGGGCCTTGAGTTTAAACAGCAGGTAGTTTTAGCTTCTTGGCTGCACCAAGGGGCTGCCTGGAGTTTAATTTGGGGGCAATTTGACTGGGGGAATCTCAGTCAGGCTCACACATACCTGCTGTCAGTGCTCTAGAGATCACAAACTCTGCAACCACTGTGGGGTTTCAAACTGCACCGTCAGCATACGTGGACAACACATGGAAGGGAACCCATGGTCTAGTGATTACAAGGTGGGCAATTTCAGCCAACAAGCCACCTTCAAGGGCTGTCCAAAGGTTTTTATTTGGGGAAAGATTTGACTGGGACATTGCACAGTCATGCCTGCACACACCTAGTGCCAGTTCTCTAGAGATTACATGATCTTTGGCCTGTAAGGAGTCCCAAAGAGTGCAGCTTGGGAAGGGAAACATTCCTGGCTCCTTGCTCAGGACCTGTACTGGCTGTTTTTGGAGGATCATGCAGTGCTGGGGATTGAAATAGCCCTGATACACGAAGAGTGTATGACAGCCCGTTGGGCTCTCTCCCTGGCCTAGATAACTTTCTTTCTTTCTTTCTTTCTTTCTTTCTTTCTTTCTTTCTTTCTTTCCTCTTTATAGCTTTTTGAATCACACCCAGCAGTGCACAGGGGTTATTCCTGGCTCACACACTCAGGAATTATTCCTGTGGTGCTCGGGGGACCATATGGGATGCTGGGAATCAAACCTGGGTGGGCTGCACGCAAGGCAAACGCCCTACCCGCTGTGCTATCACTCCAGCCCCCAGAACTTTATTTTTAAAGATATATCAAGTTATATACAGTAGTTATCTACCCTAACATGCATAAGTTATCCTTATTATGATATGCGCTTAACTGGTAGATATGACATGGAATGCAAAAGGAATGAGATTTTACATAATTAAGGTGTTTGCAGCGACACCAAACACTGTAATGTAATGTACTACATTAATCAAGACTAATATGCCTTTAAAGGGCCAGAGACCTCACACAGGGGTAAAGACATCACTTTGATTCTCACACCATGTGGTCCCACAGAACTGCCAAGTGTGGTCCTGGAAACCTCCAGCTCTGCAGGCCTGAGCAGCTCCACACACTTGGGCCCTCACACTGAACCACATTTCACTGGGTGGGATCCCTAGGTCCCCTGAGCAACACTGTGAGGTCCCCAAAAGAAGTAAAAATTGAAAAATAAAAGTGAAACTCTAAGTGTTTTGATACACAAACCTTGAATGAGCACAGTTTGACATTGATACAGAAGTATGAATGTCGAAGGAGCCAGTGTACAGAGACCTGCAGCATGTGTAGAGACTGCGGAGCAGGTAAGAGATTCCAGCCTCGGCACTTGGATCTGGTGGCTTCTGACCCCCTGGCCCAGGTCATCCATACTAGGCAGCTGTACTCACTGTGCATGACATTGGACGCCTGGAAGTCTGGGTCCTGTGGCTGTGCACTATCTGCGTTGGGGAGGAAGCGCCGCATATTCTCTGCAAGGTACCAGCTTCGGTTCTCGTCAAACACAGAAAACAGGATGACATTTCTCTTGTCTGACATCATCTGTAAATTACAGGCGTGGGAAGATAGAGAGAGACTGGAGCATTGTCAGGTAAGCGCGAGCAAGGCTGATGAAAGAACTGGAATGAACATGATGTAGAAAGAATGATTTGCTTCCAGTCCAACTCGAGGCAGGGTCCATTTTGGAGCACATGCCAATGCCTGGGAGTGGTAGCAGTGCCCTAGACATGACAATATGTTTAGGGCAAATGTGTCTGCTGTGCCAGGGGTGATGGCTTATTAAACTTCTGTTCCTCTGGTCTCCACAAGCTCAGTCAGAGGAGAGGATCTTCACTGCTTAGAGACATGCAGTGAGTATTCAGTATTCCTAACAAGGGCAGAGGCGGTGTCAGGTGAAATTAATGCCTTCTTTAAACTTATGCCTAAAAAGTATCACTCCTCACGGTACCCAATCTAGAAGCATTAAAAGAGTACGAATAGGAAGAGAGGGGGGAAAGAAGGAAACTCCAGAAAACTGAAGTCAAATAACAAAGCTAGCAGGAACCATCAAACGATAGTTAAAACGAATACCTTCCTTTTCCTGTTTGAAAAGTTTGGTGTTTCTTTCAGAAGAGCAGTTTTGAGTCAGCAGCTGATTGTGTTTCACTGAGGGTGACTGTGCCACCGTCCTGGGTACATTTATGTTTCCCCTTCTAAAATCGAGCGCAATGGGCGCTTGATTATGAGGGGCCTCTGGAGAACATGGGCACAGCACATCTTTGCAGACACTCCAGGTCAGTGACCTCCTTGCTCAGTGTGCCACATGCATGATCAAAGACAAACCCTCAGGGCTGGAACAATAGCACAGTGGGCAGGGTGTTTTCCTTGCACGCAGCTGACCTGGGTTCAATTCCCAGCATCCCATATGGTTCCCTGAACACCGCCAGGAGTAATTCCTGAGTGCAGAGCCAGGAGTAACCCCTGAGCATCGCCAGGTGTGACCCAAAAAGCAAAAATAAATAAATAAATAAATAAAAGACCATCCCTCAAGCTGGCAGGAACCCAAGGTCCATGGCATGACATAATCCAATAAGAGAGGACTCAAGCCTCAGCCACATGACAATGAGTTATTTTAGAGGCAAGCAATGAGTTCGTGTGAACAAGTAGGCTTTGTGGCAAGAGAATGTACTTCTTTTTATTTGGGAGAAACCAGGAACCTAGAGCGTCATACATACATGGTGAATATTCCAGCGTGGAATAACCTCTGCAGTTCATTGTCCTCATTTGGAGATGGCTTGGGGGTACATTTGGATAGTCCTGGCTCAGTACTTGTGGTTCACTCCCAGTAGTGCTTGGGGGACCATGTGCTTTTGGGAACAGAATCCCAGCCTCCCTCATGCAAAGCATGAATTCCAGCCCCTGACACTATCTCGCTGACCCTGTCTGCGGTTTTATGTACAGCAGAAGTGACCCAAACTCCAGCCCTACTCTGAAATCCTTTCTATTTTGTCTGTGTACCCCTCAATAAGTTTGTATCACACCTGTAGGCACCCACGCTAACAAGTCCAGGGAGGAAGTCTTGGCTGTACGGTTAATTTGTGGTTCTTTCAAAAAACAACCATGGGGCTGGAGCAATAGAACAGCAGGTAAAGCGTTTGTCTTGCACATAGCCATCCAGGGTTTGATCCCCAGCACCACATAGGGTCCCCTGAGTCGTGCCAGGAGAGATCCCTGAGTACAGAGCCAGGAGTAAGCCTTGAGCACTGTTGGATGTGGCCCAAAACTCAATTAAAAGAAAAAAACAGGTGAAAACTGGTGATAACATTATACACCCCCAAACATAAAACATTTACATTCTTTTAAACTAATGTGACCTCAAAAGGTAAATTTTAAACATATAGGTGGTCATTGACCATGTAACAGTAGATAAGATGGCAGCAGAGTGCAGTTTTAAGCTGGGAATGACTATTACAACAGCGACTCAGCACTAAGACGCGCTGGGTCATACTGACCTGGGCAACAAAGCTCTGAGGACGTCAGCTGGGTTCTTCACTAGGCCATGTCACAGGTGATCAGGAAGGGTTCAATGCCCAATCCTAAGTCTTTTAGCCGCAGACTTCACTGCAAAATCAGCTCTAGCAAAGAGAGAAGCTCACCTGGTTTCCTCTTTGATCCACAGATTCTTTGGAACAGATGAGGAGAGGGCCAATGAGGCCCGAAGCTAGGTCTCTCTCCTGGTCCACAACACTGACGTAGTAGCGAGTCAGGCAGCGGGGGTCTGATTTGGTGGGCCCATCTGCTAGGGTCACCATCCATTTGTACTTGAAGATCTCTCCAGGCAAGATGGGCAGATCTTTCACATGGCTCACACCTACCCACAGACAACCCCAAACCTCTGGGTTAGTGTAACACCAGCACTCAGAGGCAGAGTGCTTTTCACAGGACACTACAGAAACACACACTTGAGGTTCTCGGCAAATGCAAACAAAGTCTCCATCTATTCTGAACCACAAATTATTTTCTTACAATAAACATGGGTCCAAGAATTCCTGCTGGCATGTTACCTTGTGTTGGGATGGGCAGATCTACACCCTATTGCAAACATAGAGACTGTTCTGAATGTTTTCAATGCATGGTTGAAAATGTGCAAAGAAACAAAAGCCCAAGTGCTGAAAAAGCAGCATTCAATCAGTGCTCAGTGTTTGGGGGTGGGGGGCAGCACCAGACACACTTGGGCCAGAGCGTTTAATGTTTGGGCCCAGAAGTTGGATGTTCTTTGGGCTCTGTGGTGCTGATGGGGAGGCGCTCAGGGCAATCCTGATGATGCTTATTGGACCTTACAGTAGCAGGGATTAAATTCAAGGCTTTGCACATACAAAGCATGTTCTCTAGTCCTTTGACCTGTCTCTGTAGCCCTATTGCCTGCTTCTACATTTTTGTACTTCTTGGTTTTTGTTGGTTTGTTCTGTTTGTTTCTATATGAACCATCCTCAGAGGTGCTCAGGGAGATGTGAGTGAGGTACAGGGCATTTCACCCAGGTTCTTGCACACGCAAAGCACTAAAGCCATATACCCAGCCCCATGGAGAAGTTGCAACTGTGTCTACAGAATCAGGACATGGGCCACCTGACTCCCGTGAGGAGCCCAAGCAAGAACTGAGACCGGCTGGGACCAGAGAGGGCTCCATGGGCTGAGCACGGGCTTCCCCTGAGGAAGAGGCGAGCTCAAACATGGGCACCACATGGGTGCTAGAGTACTTTGACCCAGAGCACAGAGATCGGAGCAGTCATGAACAGTGCCAGGTGGCCTGCCAAACAAGCAACAACAAAAACAGAGTCCTTCCCCTGGGCACACTTTCCTGCGCTAGTTGTGAAAACGCACTGCAGGGTGTGTTTCATACTTGAAGACCCACCTTAAGTCACACAGGCAATGTCCCTACTGCTGTCTGGTGGCCTCCGGCTCTCATGAACAGCTCTACGTGGAGCCACGGAAGACAAAGCGCTCACCCGTGGTTCTGCATACTTGCGGGAACTGACTGAGGGTGAGTGGACCTTAGATGAAAGGGAACAAAGGTCCTCTGGTGCTACTTTTCTCTGTCCCACATCATTCTTGTTTGTTTTGAGGGGTCCACCCCACAGTGCTGAGGGCTCACTTCTGGCTCCATGCTCCACGGTTATTTGTGGCAGTGCTCAGGGGACCGTATGGTGAGGGGCTTGAACCTGGGCCTGAGGCCCTTCCACATATACCTTGCTAGCTGTTCTGCATGCCAGGCACTGCTGGCGGGTTCTGAAGACACTTGCAGGGTGCTCTGTCGTTACCACAGAGCTCACAGCCTGCAGAGCGCCAGGACATGACAATGGTCAATGAGTTCCCATTATATTGGGTGATATAAGCAAGAATCTGTGACACTGTTTCCAGCCTCTGACAGATGGTCCTTTACCCAATGTATTTTCCAAGAAGATCAAAGTAGCCCATCTGCACAACACACACTCTCTAGACAGAAGCCCCTAGCGCTTGCTACAGTAAAGAAAAGAAAACTCTCACCTCTCTCTGACAACCCTGAGGTAAAAATTTCCATCACACCTCTCGCTGGGAGACAGAGCCTGAGGAAGGGTGGGATTAGAGTGACCCATTCCGAAGAAGCACGCGAGCCTGGGCCTGCAGGGACACCAGCAAGCAGTGCAGGGGGAAACTGGTGCTGCGCTTCCCGCACGCTGATTCTAAACACTGGGAAGACTGCTGGGCCCTCAGCCAGTTGCGTTCAATCAAGGAAGCAGAGCTGATCGCCTCGGCAGCGGAAGATGCAGTTCTGTGTTTAGCCACAAGGTGGCCACAGGGTACACACAGAGAGCGCACAAAGGCCTTGCAAAAGTGAAGTGGGTCCAGTCCTAAGGTAAGAAGGGGGGGTAATAGCTGCCACACTGTCTTCCCAAATGTGGGAATCTTGGTGCCTCCAGTGAAGGATGGAGAAGGCCAGGGGTCATGGAAAGGGACAAATTACACCCAAATGACTGATCCCCGTCACATATTACCTTCCCAAAGCAATCAGGCAGGGCTGCAGACGGCCAGCAGGAATTCCCTGAGAAGCGCCCACAGACACTAGAGCTCCCGAGATGGAACTCAGGGCCCCGCACGCCCCCGGCCACCCTCTCCCTGACCTAACCATGTTGTAGCTTCAGCGCGATGCTAGCCCCTTGCTGGTGGGTGGAGAGGGAGATGGCAGCCTTCAGCTCAGCGTCCGCGGCGTGAGTTCCCATCACACCTTGCTCCTAAGAGATGGGCTGAGCCAGCAGGGGCGGGTGGGATTAGAGTTACCTCCACGTGGTAGATGGGGCAGAAGACTTGAACTTCCTGATTGTTTGGTCTGCTTTGCACACGCAGAGACCACACGCAGAGGCCGCAGGAATACCAGCAAGAAGTCCAAGGCCAAACTGTTGCTGGGCCTCCAATGCACCCATTGAAAACACTCCAGAGCCTGCTGTGCTCTTGGATACGTCATCGCTTCAAGAAGGTGTGGGAGAGCTGAGCACGTCCACATCAAAAACTGCAGTTCTGAGTATGTCCACAAGGCGGCAACAAACACACACAAGGACGTAACCCAAAGGTGGAACTCCTGCTTTGTACGCTCAAAACACAGGGTTGGAGTCTAACACTGGGTTGAAATTGGGGACAACAGCAGCCGTGGCCTCCCTTTCGTGCAGGGTACTGAGTGCAGGAGTGTTTGAGTAGGCCGGGATCAGAGAAGAGTCACAGTCCACCTAGAGGACTCATCTCCTCCCTGTTTCCTTTCTGAAACACCGACCAGGCAGGGCTGCTGCAGACAACCAGAAGAACCACTCCCAGTAGTGTCCACACACGCTAGAGTCCCGGGGTGGAACCCAGGGTCCCTGCAAGGCCCACAAGTCAGCTGACTCCTGATCCCCTCCCTGCTCTAACCATGCCGATACTTCAGCACAAGGAGGGGCCTTGCAGGTGGGGGGAGGGAGACACAGTCTTCGGCCCCAGATTCTGAGGCTCGAGCGCTCATCACGTCTCGTTGCTAGGATACCGGCTGAGCCACCAGGGAGAGTGGGATTAGAGCGTGACCTACTTGCAGTAGAAGGCACAGGATCCTTAACCAATCTGTTTTTCTCGGCCCTCCAACGCCTCCAGGAACTGAATCCAAGGCACAGAGGCACCAGTAAATATTGCAGGGGCCCAGCTTGTGCTGAGCTTCCCACACACTCATTCCAAACACCCCAAAACCTGCTGTTCCTTGTCCCAGTTTGGTTCAAGCCGGAAAGCAGTGCTAATATCGTGGGCATTGAAAGATGCGGTCTCAAGTATGTCCACAAGGTGGCGACAAGTGCACACACAGCGCAGAGGCGGAGCTGCAATCTCTCGCTGTTAAGGTAGAGGGATCGAGTCCCATTCCCAGAGAGCAAAACTGGACAACAGCAGGTATGACCTCCCTTGTGTACCATATCTTTGATGTTCCAAGCATGGTTATCTTGCTATCTTCAGAGACAGGATATGGAGTCACAGGAAGGATTAGCATTATATGAAAGCACTCATCCCTTTCCCCATGCTTCCTTTCTGAAGCAAATAACCAGGGTCCTTAGATGTAGTACAGCAGGTAGGATGTTTGCCTCACACATGACCGACCCAGGCTCTATCACCAGCATCCCATATGATCCCCTGACAGCCAAGAGTCATTCCTGAGGGCAGAGCCAGGAGTGAGCCCAGAGCATTACCAGCTGTTGCACAGAACCAAACAAAAACCCCAAAGCAAACAACCAGGCAGGGCTATAAGGGACAAGCAAGACTACTGTCAGCAGTGCCACAGTTCCTGGGGTAGAACCCAGGGCCTGCACAGGCCTGCAGTATCGGCTAACTCTTGAGACCAGCCTAGCCTCTCCCTGACCTGCTGTGCTGAAGTTTCAGTGGGTAGAGGCAGGGAGTCAGAAGTCTTCAAGGCTCTCTGTCTGAGGCTCCAGCTCCCATAACCTCCTCCAAGAGAGTCATTGGGGACCTGAACTTCATCACTGAGAATCAAGGTTTGTTTATATGTTTGAGGCCCGTGGTTCAATTCTTCACTGGCATACGATATGCAACAAAATCCTCACTCAAAATTAAAGAACACACAGAATATGTAAGCAGTTCAATCTATTAAAAAATTCAACGGAGCAGTAATGACACACAACTGACTGTTAAAACACTCTTTGTAAGATTGTGCATACAAATCCCAAACCGAGATACACACCCCTGACCTGGGCCAGCCTCAACACATCTTCAACATGTAGGTAAAATAGCCCAACTTGTGTGGTGCTTCTAAAATGATTCACGTCATTCATCACAGAAGCAACGCAAGAAGGACAGTTTTTACCATGAAAGAGAAAAAAAAATCTACAAGAAATGTGTGGTCTGAACTCCTACACGAATAGCCAAGCAAATAAACCCGATGTGTGGTCCAAGAAGATCATTTCAAGACCTGAGTATGTGTCTGACAGTGCTGGACAAGGTGGGCCCTTCATGGCCCCCAGAGCACCACCACCAGTGGCCCTGGTGACCTTCAGCAGCCCTGGACTCAAGCAGCATCACTTCTGCAGGCCAGGGGAAAGAATCGTCTACGAAAACGCAGACTGCTTGGGAGGACTCCCTCATCAACACTGAACAGGTTGATAATGAAAGGTAAGATTTCACTGATGGGGCTGGAGCAATAGCACAGCAGGTAAGGCGTTTGCCTTGCACACAGCCGACCCAGGTTCGAACTCCAGCATCCCATATGTTCCCCCGAGTACCACCAGAAGTAATTCCTGAGTGCAGAGCCAGAAGTGACCCTTGTGCATCGCCGGGTGTGTGACCCAAAAAGAAAAAAAAAAGAAGATTTCACTGATGTAGAATGTAACCCCAAAGTATAAGATAAAGGCCCTCCCGTTGATCGTCGATTTGCTCAAGCGGGCCCAGTAACGTCTCCATTGGAGACTTTGTTGTTACTGTGTCTGGCATATCGAATACTCTCGGTAGCTTGCCAGGCTCTCGAGAGGGGCGGAGGAATCGAACTCGGGTCGGCCATGTTGGCTGCGTACAAGGCAAATGCCCTACCGCTGTGCTATCGCTCCAGCCCTAGTTGATCGCCGATTTGCTCGAGCGGGCCCAGTAACGTCTCCATTGGAGACTTTGTTGTTACTGTGTCTGGCATATCGGATACTCTCGGCAGCTTGCCAGGCTCTCCGAGAGGGGACCCCAAAGTATATTTAGCGAAAATAATATCCATTGGGACCAGGTATGGGTTCCATAGCCCCCTTCTCAAATTGCTTCCCCCCAAAAGCATTTAGTGTTGACTCAAAAATTCCACTTTGTGAAGATTATACTCCCAGGGATCATTTCTATAGCTGATTACTAGAGAATTTCTCTGATTGTGTAGACCGCCCAAAACCACGAGGAGGAGCCACTGCACCATCTCCTGAGCATGAGGCCTGTTCCAGGAGTTGATTCTCCAACTTCCTTTTACCACTGATCGGAGAGGGTGCTGTCTGAGTGGTCTCAGTAAAACAAATCCAGTTTGGGATAGGAGAGCTGGCTCCATGACCTGGAGCTGGATCAACAGTGACCATTTAATTTGCATGAAAGTGGGAAAACGGTCAAAGGAGTATGCTCAAAACACGAAGAAATGTGACACAGTAGCCAAAGGTCGAATGAAAATGTGAGAGAAATCTTGAAAGAGATGAAGCAGAAGAGGGTAAGAAATACTTGAAGAAATAAAGGTCCAACCAAGTGTTTACAAGTTTGGTGAAACACCTAAAGCTACTGATTGAGGAAGACCTAGAAGTATGAATATGGAAAAATTAAAGATAGAGAAAAATAACAGAGAGGGCGGAGTTACTCACTTGAAATTATATTTAGATTTAAATGAAGTACTATTTTGTAAATGCTAAAAGAAGAAAACAATCTTCAAGCCAGCATGCTCTGTCCTGTTAGATGAAGATAGGGGCAGGGAGAGCCCTCGGCATTCCACATACGGCTCTGTTAGACCTGGGTAGCTTGCATGTAAGACCTGGGTTTGATCCCGAGACCCAGGGAAAAAAGTTAAGTTAAAATAAAAACATACCTGGCCAGAGCCATAGTACAGCAGGTAAGGTGATTGCCAGGTTTGATCCTTGGCACCCCATAGGTCCCCGACACCACAAGGAGTAAATCCTGAAGACAGAACCTGGAGTAATCCCTGAGGAATTCTGAGTTACAACAAAAATAACTTAAAAATAAAAATAAAATAAAAACATTCTAAATAGGATGAAAGGGGGTAGTCTATCTATTGCATATGAGATCACAGACTGATAAAATGCATCAAGTTGAAGGGACATGACCTGATACTATGAGCAAGCATGAGCGACAGAATCCATCTTGTTCCTACACATACACTTTTCATAAGTATCTCTGCCCCAGGTCTTTGCCCTACGTACCTCAGTCCTAAGAGATGTCCTCATGCCCAGTGTCAGCTTTTTATGTTGAACCAGGTCCAGTGAGAGGTGGAGGGAGGGAGACGAGAAAACAAAAGGCCTCTGAGAACACGCAGAGCCTTATCAAGCCCGAGGACTCCTTTAACCCTTGGAAAAGAGTCAACAGCAGTTCCTGGAGGGACTCTTCAAGATTATCGTGGGGACCCTGGAAACGGAGGAGTATTGCCTGACCATGGCACAGGCACAGAGCACCCTCCTCCAAGCATCCCACTGACATCAGTGAGGATGGCCTGAGCCAGAACTCCCTCCTCTCTGCCCATGACCTTCACCTTCTAACTTAATTTTTCTATCCTGATATCAATTCCAGCCCCAGTTTCAAGGCAGGTGAGTTTGGGGACTCACAAGTTTGCCATTTTCTCTCTTAGGTTGCTAGCCCCTTAAAGACTCTTTTTCTCTCATATCAATTTTTGGGGGTTTTTTTTGGGGGGGGCACACCAGGTGGTACTTACTCCTGGCTCTATACTAAGGAATCACCCCAGGAGGACTTGGGAGACCATATGTTATGCTAGGGATTGAACCAGGGTTTACTGAGTACAATGCGAGCACCCCCCCCACACACACACACCCCGCATACACTATTGCTCCAGCCCCTATATCAACTCTTGTTTCTGGAATATTGGCCTTCAAATGGCGAGCACTTGAATCTGAACTTAGGGTCTTTAGGCAGGCATGAGAAGCACTGATATTGTAAATCACCGGGGAAATGTGAAGAAACAGGTTCTTGTAAAGATCTGAAACTGCCCCAGTTGGGCCTGAGCGATAGTACAGCAGGTAGCCTGTTTTCTTTGCATTCGACTAACCCAGATTTGATCCCTGGAATCGCATATGGTCACTTGAGCCTGTCAGGAGTAATTCCCGAGCACAGAGCCAGGAATAACCCCTGAACACTGCCAGGTGTGGCCCCAAAACAAACAAAAATTTACATGAGTGTTTAAGGCAAAACATAATATTTTTATGCGGGTTTTGTGAAGTATATAGGCGTAATACATATGGGTATTGTAGTACATAGGACAGTGTGGTGATATATGTGCTTCAATAATAGTATTATTATTACTAACATGCAAACTCCTCTCCCAAAAGCCAACAAAATTCTCGCAAAGTTCCAGGGGGCTGCTTTTGCAACAAGCTTAATCAAAAATCTATGTTGGGGGGGCGGGCTGGGGAGATAGCACAATGGGTAGAGACTATGCCTAGCTGGTAGGAGACCTCAAATTCATCCAGAGCACCTTGAGCCCCCTGAGAACCCCAAATGTGGCCTTCAGGGCTCCTGAAGCATATTGTACAGCCAAGCAAAAAAGCACCAGGTCTGCAGCAAGGCCCCCAACAAGAACAGAAGCCGGTGCCCCCTAGCACTGCTGGGTGAGTCCCTACAAGGACAGAAATCAATAAAAACTGTGCATGCTCAAAGGACCTTCAGTGGCCAAGGCAATCTTTCAGAAAGGAGGAAGGCGAAAGCACCTTGTTCAAGACCCAGTAATCCAAACAGTGGACAGATGGAGAGCACAGACGGTTATTCATCCACTGAAAGGCACACACAAATGGAAGCAGAGGAACCAAGGATGTGGCTCAAGGAGTAGCGTACATGTTCTACACGTGTGAGGCCCGGGGTGTGATTCCCGACACCCCAGACACTGCTGGCCCCAAATCCTATGGATAGCGTTGTTGGATGTGACCCCCACAGCGACCAAAACACAGAAGGAAATAGAGGCAACACTTACCTTTTGGCAGTCTCCCTGCATGCAGAGGTCCAACCACTGTGATTCCGTGAGGGACAATATTGTATGGTCGACTAGCTCCATTCTTAAATACAATCTAAGAAAGAAAAGACCCACTAAGATCTCCCCAAATGGGGCAGGAGCATACGCATGGTGGGTAAGGAGCTTGCCTTGCACATAGTGGAACCAGGTTCAATCTTTGGCACCCCGTAGGGTCCCAGGAGCACCACCAGGAGTGGTTCTTGTGTACAGACATGGAGTGACCCCTGAGCATTGCTGGGTGTAGCCCCAGAACAAAGCAAGACAAAAGAAGTGAAGAGGCCTCTTCTCCCTGCCACCACACCTCCGCGGTCTGTGCACTTGTGCCTAGTCATACCATTGTGTCCAGCTTGAATCCAGTATCACATGACTTTCTGTAGCTTTTCCTTTGTATTTAGAATTACCCTTTCCAACCAAAGGAATTCTACCTCCAGCCATCTGCCCTCAATCTACTTTATCTTCAACTATTTAAAAGCCTTGTTTCTTGTCAATCATAGATCTTTTGTTTTCCTCCTAGGAATAGTGGTCAGAATTTTAGTGAAATAGTAAATAAAGGTTGGTATTTATTAGCTGCGTCTCACCCTGAACTTCCGGTGTGGAGACTCCCGGGGAAGGCCCTTCCTAGCGGTTCAATGTGAGGGAACAGGGATGCAGGGCTGAAGATTGCCTGACAGAGGTACTGCGGAGCAAAGCAATGCTGACAATGTGAAAGGCAAGTGTCTTAAGCTCACTACTAGCTCTCTGCTCTTGTGCTGATCAGAAGCAGAAAGATTTCCGAGTTTCACGGCCAAGTCTCGTGCTTTCTATAAGTTTTCTGAAGAACCTTATCAGGATAAACATGCTTTTTTATTTTTAAGTATCTTTTATTTTTTAATTTAATTTAATTTGGGGGGCTGGAGCGATAGCATAGTGGGTAGGGCGTTTGCTTTGCATGCAGTCGACCTGGGTTCGATTCCTCTGCCCCTCTCAGAGAGCCCAACAAGCTACCAAGAGTATCTCGCCCACACGGCAAAGCCTGGCAAGCTACCCATGACGTATTCGATATGCCAAAAACAGTAATAACAAGTCTCACAATGGAGACATTACTGGTGCCCACTCAAGAAAATCGATGAACAACAGGACATTGCTACAGTGCTGATTTAATTGTTATAAGGTAGTGCACAGTATTTTATTACATTTAATATTTGAACACCAATACTACCACCATTACACCTTCTCACCAGCATATTTTGGATGTTTCCATCCCAAACCCCAACTCCTGCCCCAAAACAGAACCAAAATTTTTTACTTTGTATTGTTTGTTACGGATAAACCGCTAAAAATGCTCCAGAAAACTTTCCTTTTTCTTTAGAGGAGAGTGTGTGAAGATTGTTGTATTTCACCCAGGGGACATTAAGCCCTTCTATAAGAGATGACTCATATGTGGTTTAGGTTTGAGCCTTGTGTGCTACTATCTGTAAAAATATATTTACCTTAAGATTGGTTGCCTTCTACTTTAAACCCCATCAAATGTAGTGCACTACTCTTGGAATATGAGTGGTGTGAGGGATAAACATGCTCTTTGCAATGCCATTACCCATAACCTCATTATAAACAGATGTTATTTTTTTCTTTGGGGGCTATACCTGGTGTCCTTCACGGGCTACTACTGGCTGGGTGCTCGAGGGGTCACTCTGTGGTTCAGGGGACCACGTAGTGCTAGGAATTGAACTCTCTGCATGCGGAGACTGTGCTTAGCCCAGTGAGTGCTCTCTCTCTCATCCTAGATGTCAAATTTTGATAAAATGTTTTTTCGTTAGCTATTGAAGTTAAATGAAACTTCCCCATCTCACCTCTTAATATAGCACAGGACCACATTTGACTTTCTAATGTTAAATTAACCTATTCCTATCTTCTAGAATTTTGAGCCATATCTGGTATTTCACATATTATCCTACTCTTTACTTTATACCCTCTTAAAAATATAAAATCCATCTGAGCTCTCAGGTTGTCTACAAATAGGCATTGGCCAGAGTCTGTTGATTATCAAAGTATATAATTAGTGTCAAAAGTTCTAGAAGTCTGTCTGCATTAAACTCTAGGTAGTGAGTATTTCAGAAGAGTGGCAGTTCACATGTGTTATTTTATTTTATTGTGGTGATGGGACTCTCACCCAGAGCCTCACACACATCTCCCCAGATAACATCTAGAACGTAGGGCATTGCTGGGAATAGAACTTAAATTGTTTTGTTTTGTTTTGTTTGAGGGGGGTGTTGGGCCAAACTCATCAGTGTTCAGTTTCTATTCATGGCTCTGCTCAGTGATATCTCCTGGTATGGATGAGGGGACCATATGGGGTGCCAGCGATCAAACCTGGGCCAGCAGTGTGCAAGGCAAGTGCCCTGCCCACTGTAATATTTCTCCAGCCCTGAACTAAAGTTTTGATTGTATACACACACTTTTTTAAATTATAATCTGAAAACATTATAGTCTACACTTATTATCATGTATAGTTCTTGAGGTCATACTCATTGGAGACATGGTTGAATTACTAAGTTTTTCAAAATTAAAACCCAACAGACTTTTTCTTCCTTCCCAAGGCATGTATTTTTCTTAACTTACCAAAAGTGTGTCTCCAACTTCTCCATAAAGCAAAGGTCCCAAGATTCCCGATTCATCCTGAGTAGCTTTGCGGGTCTTGAATGTTTCATCTGAGTACGCCATAAATCGGACCTTTTTGTATTTCTTACCAATCCGCTGGGGCCCATTGTTCAAATATAGACTTTCATAACTTCTGTATAGGCCAACAAAAGATAAGAGGTTGGAGAAAGAGAACCAAAGATAGAGCATGGTTTCGGGTGCTTGCCCTGCATGTGGTCGACCCTGGTCAGATCCCTGGCACCACCGGGGACTCCCAGGAGTGATTCCTGTACACTGCTGGTATGGCCGAAGACAACTCAAGAGAGAGGTGGCAAAAGAGATTTCTGAGGGAAGGGGAGGTTGCTAGAGTCCAGCTCGAAGCCAGTGGTATGATTAATCCAAGGGATGTGAGAAAGACCAGCACCCTGCTTCCCAACACAGCCCGTGCTTAGGCTGAGCTGTGAGTGGAGGACTTGCTGTTCTTCAAGCAGGGGAGAGAAGCTTGAGAGCTAGTACCTGTCACTGGGTGCGACGTTCGAGGGGGCATAATCCCAGTCACCCTCCTCCGCTGCTATGTAGTGAATCCAAGTCTTTGGGTGCTTCTTGGCAACTGAGCGCACCTGGAGAAAGGGGGAGGCGTGGTCGTCATCAAAGCTGACCACGTCCAGGTCATCATCGTCCAGGTCATCATCATAGACTTCCTCTCTGTCATTGTTGTTCTTCCTCACTTGGGGCTCCTCCGGGCAGCTCTCCACACTGACATAAGCTTCCATGCCTTCTGCGGGGAGACAAAGCAAACAGTGTGGTTCCTGCCTTCCCGACGGTGGCTTCATCCTCACCAGGAAGGTCAAGAACCTCCTTGTAACCTCATTGGCCTTGCCCACACCTGCTTTTTGCACTCACTCCTCCTCTCTGTCTGACTTTCCTCTTTTTCCAAAAATCACTCATTTGTTTGGACCGTAAATCTGAATATTTCCCTCCTCAACATGGCTCTGTGCCTATCACTTCCAACTCCTGAATTATAACTTGGAGAATTGCTTTTTATCAGCATTTGGAAACCCTGTTCAGCCAATTTCCCTTTCCCATAGTCACTAATGACATAGAAAGTTCTAAATTTGCATTTTAAATGAACATTCAATTTACTCTATAGTATAAAACATTGATTTAATAATGGCATATCAGTGGAAAATATTATAGTAAGCAAATTTGTGTGGGCATCTCCTAGCACAAATATGTATACTACCATTTGCCCCACACACCTGGCCCAGAAGCTATGCACTTTAAGGCCCGTTCCAAATTCACAAAGACATGAGAATGTATGATGTAAAACTGTGGAAATTGCCATCTATTTTAATAGTATAGTATAGTGCCTGTAACTAGTTGTAAACCCTATGACAAGTCCATTCCACACTACCCTTCTCAAGCTTAGTAAAGTGTGAGGGACACTAATCCCTGCCTGTCTGTCTGACAGGCTATTTCTAGGATCAATTAGTATGAAGGGACAGAGAGAAGAGGGCAGATTTCAGTACAAGCAAATAACTAGACTGGGGCTCATGTGGCTTTAAAAGGAATTTATTCTAGATCTCTAAAGCTTTTGTTTGAGCTCCAATAAGACAAAACATCTTTCTGAAAAACAAGGATTATAATCAATGAGGAAAAGTTTTCAAAGGACCAAAACAAAACATAAAATATATTCATCTTTAACTGACTTGGGCCCTAAGTATCATGATGACGGTCAAAGTGCAGTAAGGAGCGAGTCCCTGGCGTCTAGGGCGATTTTCCGGTGCTCACTCGGTAGGAGACCCTGTGCTCCCTAGTGTCTTGTCAATCCTTTCCCCAACATCAAGCAGCACACAAGGAGAAACTGTCCCTAATATCCATGACTTCAGAGGACCATGACAAAGTCACTCACAAGACATCGGGGGAAACAGTGGGTGGATGGCAAGATCAAGTCAAGCTGCATCTGAGAGGATAGTGTGAGATGCAGATTTTATTCCTGCATCACAACAGGAGAGGAATAAAAGGAACTGTCAAAGGGCAAGGTCAGGCTTGCTCATCCTTCCCCTCCAACAGCCCTCAAAAGCTGCAGCACAGAGCACAGTGAGTGTTGGGGAGGTGACAGATGAGTCAACAGAGTGGTGACTACACAGAGAGGGAAATGGCAGTGAGAGGATCACAGCCTACAGCCTTGCTCAGGCCCTAACTACAAAGGAAGATTCGAAACTGCAGACACCAAGGTTCTGCCTGCCCCTTCCACTCTGAATATACCCCGAGCAACCAGGCACCTCATCCACAGGCATCTGCTGAAGCCTGTGTGGGTATCAGGGGCTGGAGCCCGCCAGCAAGCATGGCAAATGTCCACTTACAGTTGCCATGTGTTGCTCTTGGTCCACTTCCAAGAGTGGAGAGCTGGGGCCTGCCACCAGAGACGGTGCTGGTTTTTTTGCAGGGCTCTCCATTCCCATAAAATAGCATCACACCTGTCACCGACAATCCCTCCTCCTTGTACTGCCTCGCTCATGCGGAAACCTCCTCCCTTCCATTGCAGGCATTTAGTAGAAAATTCACAGTGAAGACCAGGACAGTACCTAAGGGCTGAAGAGTATATACCTTGAGTTCTTTCCCCCGCACCTCACGCCCCTCGCAGCACCTATGCACAGAGCAGCCTGGGCACTATTTGGGAGGCAAAAAAAAAAAAAAGAAAAACAAAACTACTAACTGGCACTATGACTCAAAGTCTTATACTCAAGGCAAAATCTTTGAAAATTGGCAGCTAGAGTTATCCCATACCAAATAGTGTGCTGTAAATCCCATTAAGAGTACAGCTAGGAGCACAGAGATAGTACAGTGCCTGTCTTGCACATGCCCAAGGCTGGTGTGATAAGGGAACCCATATGGTTCCCTGAGCACCTCCGAGAATGGCCCTAAAACCAAAACCTCAAAACCAATGACAACAAACATAGACGCAAATTCAGAGCTAGGCATTTATCATATTTGCATTTAACACCCAAAGATATTACCATGTTGGTGTGAAGATATCTGACAAAACAGCAGGAACTGGCCAAGGTCCATGAGGACCGTCTGGGCAGTCAGGAAAGTTATTGGTGAGATCTCCAAAGAGACCTGACGATGGTTCCTCACAAGAAATGTGTGCCCTTCCAAAAAGATTGAGTGCACTTCAGGGGTAGTTCCCATCCCAATCACATGCCAGTAGACTGATCTCTTGTGGCATCCCGTCAGACCTGAAAGAAGGAAATAAGACAGCAATAGTTGAGGGATAGGAGCATGTAGAGTGGTAAACACTCATCAGGGTGGGAAGAGGAAAGCCCCCTCTCAAATGTTATTTTCTTGACTAGAAAACCAGCTTTTCAAGGACTGTAGCTTGCTGTAAACCCAATAGCTCTGGTCAAGGTATCCAATGTCCATAATGCTGCTAAATCCAGAGGCTCTTTCTAGTCTCCATCCGAAACTGTTGACCATTTGCTCCTTTTGGAAATTCTCTCAAGCCTTTGCTGCCATGTGAACACCTTATTGGATTTTGTTCCTCTTGGGTTTCTACTGCTCCTTCTTTGGACTCTTCCTTTGCGATCCATCCATTAAAAGATAAAGTGCCCCCAGTCTCTGTCCTTGGTCTTATTCTCTAGTGATTCCCTGTTTTCTCCCTGAACAACATCATGGCATTCATTACCATTCATGTGCTGACAACTCTCCTTTCCTGTTTCTGGCCACTCCTAGAACCCAGGAATCACATAGAGTACCAGCTTTTCAACATCTTCACCAGGATGTCTCTTAAACCCCCCAGATCCAAAGCCCCTCATCTTCCAGATGAATTTTTCTTCTAGTTCAGTGAATGGTACCATCTTGAACTCATTCCTGTGAATGAAAGAAATTCCTATCACCATTTTCACTGCTCACACCCAATCTAGTAGCAGCTGTGGTAATAAAGTTGAGTAGCACTGTAGCACTCTCCTCCCATTATTTATCGATTTGCTCTAGCGGGCCCAGTAACATCTCCATTGTGAAACTCGTTGTTACTGTGTTTGGCCTATTGAATACGTCACGGGTAGCTTGCCAGGCTTTTGCCGTGCGGGTGAGATACTCTCAGGAGCTGCGTGTTGTTTAGCTCTCACACTGGGAACTTCAAGACTGTCGCTGTCTCCTATTTTGACCCCCAAAGCTTGTAAATATATCTATTTTTTCACCACCCTTCCTTCACTCTTTTCTGCACCCAATAGTTACCATAGCTCGTGACTGAAGAGCATCTGTCCGTATTCCTTTCCCAGCCTGTCACTCACCAGGAACCCAGTGTCGCATGTTCACACCCCAGATGGGATTCTACAACTCTTCGGGGGCTATATAAGTCAAGTACCAATTCTCTAGAAGTCCTAGCAAGTCTGAAAAGTCCCTCTCAGTCTCCTCTCATCCCCACCCTATTTCCATATTTCTAATCTTCTTCCGAAGCTCGGTTTATAGGAAACTTCCTCAGGGAAGCCTTTCCTAGTTCCCCATCTAAGCCAGGTAGCATAGATGTGCACTGCTGTTCCATCATTTTTCTGGAGACTATTTCTCACATCCTTGCCCCTTTTTATTGCCACGATTGGTTAGTAATAAAAATCATCATTCTCCTCTTGGGCTTTAAGCTTCCAACTTCTTCCCTCTTGCTTTTCTCCCAACTTTTTCAGAGCCAGTGGCTTCCAAGGGCAGGATGTTTATCGTGGAAACCATCTTGGTTCTCAATTCAAAGCCCAACCCAAAGTGCAGTTTGCCTAAGAACTCAAGGCTGAGGGGCTGGAGCAACAGTACAGTAGGGAAGAGACATGCCTGGGTTTGATCTCTGGCATCTCATATGGTCCCTTAAGTACTGCCAGGAGTGATTCCTGAGCACAGAGTAAGAAGTAACCCCTGAGCATCACTGGCTTGTGGCCCCCAAACCAAAACCAAAACAAAACAAAACTTGAGCAACTCGAGTTTGTAAAGACCTTCACTGTCTGTCCTGTAACACTGTTCTCCTGTTGTTCATCAATTTGCTCAAGTGGGCACCAGGTAACGTCTGCATTGTGAGGCTTGTTGTTCCTGTTTTTCTCATATAGAATACGCCCTGAGGAGCTTGCCAGGCTCTGCCATGCAGGCGGGATATTCTTGGTACCTTGCCGGGTTCTCCGAGAGGGGCAGAAGAGTCGAACCTGGGTTAGCTGCGTGCAAAGCAAATGTCCTACCCACTGTGCTATTGCTCCAGCCCGTGAAGACCTTATCCTCAGAAATTTTAAAGTGTCTTCCATAATGTTTCTTATAGTTTTCTTGTCTTTGTGATGCAATTTCTCTCTCCTAGGGAAAGGTTTATTCAATAGCTCCTTATTGTTCTATGAAACCCCATAATAACCATTTTCTGTGGCACTCTCTGACATTCCTACTGGAAAATTTTAATCTGAAGGCCCAAGGTTATTTCAAATGTTTTGAAGTTTCCTTCTATCATTTCTTTGCATTTAAAAATATGTCCCTAGTCTCTTTTTGTGTGACTTTCTAGATTTATCTCTATTGTTCCTACTTTTTACTGGGGAATAAAACCATTGTATTTCCTGATTTTGGCATATCGAATATGCCACGGATAGCTTGCCAGGCTCTGCCGTGTGGGTGAGATATTCTTGGTAGCTTGCTAGGCTCTCTGAGAGGGATAGAGGCTTTTAGGGCGGCCTCTAATCGCCCTTGCAGGTGTTCCCATGGTTCAAACCATATTTGGACCCTATCAAATATGGTGCGGTAATCTTGGAAGATGGGTATTAAGTGTCTTATGATGTGTCCGGAAAGTGGCCTGGAGCATGGCGGCAGCTGGGTAGTGGAGGTAGTGGAGGTAGTGGAGGTCTATCGATGAGGTATTTATCTGGTACCAGTAGGGTGGGTCTTCTGTGTGTAATCCCTGGGTTGCTGGAGGTTGGTGGAAGCAGAGAGGGCAGGGTAGGCAACTACACCACCTCCACTTCGATGATGACATCGTTCTAATAACATCAAACGTTAGCCAAGCAGCACAAAGGCTGGATGACTTCGACCACAAGTGTGGAAAGGTCAGACTACAGCTGAATCTCACGAAGACAATGTTTATGACAGTCTCGTTCCTGACGTTCCATTCGCTCTCAAAGGAACAATCATCTCAGAACGCAACAGTTATGTATACCTAGATCAAGAAGTCAACATGACGAATAACCTAGCACCTGAGTTGCGCAGGATGAAGAGAGCGGCTTGGAATGCCTTCAAGAGCGTTGAAGAAATAGCTAAGAGGATGAAGAACCTCCGACTCTGGGCACATCTCTTCGATTCCACTGTTCTTCCTGCATTAACATACGCCTCAGAGACCTGAGCCCTACAAAAACAGGATGAGAACGGTATTTGGGTCTCCCAAAGAGGAATCGAAAGAGCTATGCTTGGATTATCACGCTTCACTCAAATGAGAGAAAGAATCCGGAGTTCCAACCTCCGTTGACAATCAAGAATCAGGGATGCTGTCTCGTTTGTCAAGCCGTCGAAAATCAGATGGGCGGGACACATAATTTGATTTGAAGATGACCACTGGACTAGAACCATTACCAACTGGATTCCACGGGACTTCAAAAGATAGTGGGATCGTCCACCAACGAGATGCTCAGACTTCTTCATCAAGACCCTGAATGATTGGTTTGAGGCTCTTCGTGTTCCTAGAATGAGCAGATGCCATTGGGCTACACTAGCACGCAACAGGGACGAATGGAGATGTTATTGGTGCCCACTCGAGCAAATAGATGAGTAATGGGATGTCAAGTGATCAAGTTTCTACTTTTTATTGAGCTTGTATCTTGACAATCATGTTCCTAAGGAGTATACTCTTGGTCTGGTTGCTTTCTTTTCATCGAACCCTGATATTGGTGCAGGTATCTTGCTGAATTTGTGTAATGAAAGTAGCAGTTGAAACTACTGGCAAATTCACTCTTATGAGACTCTTGTTTGCTGTGCTTTCCTATTGCAGGCATGCCTTGAGTATAGGAGGCAGTCACATTACTGGGGGTTTGGGCACAGCTTTAGGAGACCCAGGGAAATAATTGTGGATACATACCTGGCAGAGTCCTGTGGGCATAGCCGTTGACTGTGTGCATTTGAGAGTGGGCCCTCGCTGCAGCAACATCCTGTGCCAAGGAGCCATTGGTTTCTGCATACCAGCTTTTCCCTGGGGAGAGAGCGGTCATAGAGCAGCTTGGAGCTTGTCTTGGGTGCTCCTGCCAGCCCACCCCCACCTCCAGAGATGATCTCCCCAGTCAGGATTGTCTGTTGTTTCATTTGCCCAGTAGAGCAGGTAGGAAGGGAGCGGGACATGCTCTAGCAGAAGGGAAGCAGTGGTCCAGGCTTCTGTTCTGTTTCCTCAGCAGAACCACTTCAGAGGAAGCCACTGAAATGCATTCAGGACTCCACACAGGCTCTGAGGCAGAAACCCCAGCTTACAAGCTCGCACAGAGCACAGAGCCGGATGTAGCCCTGAGCACCTTAGGAAGAGCCCCAATCCCAAACAACAATGTCTATAGAAAGGAGGAGGAGGAGGATGAGCCAGAGTGATAGTACAGGGGGTTGGGCATTTGCCTTGTACTCGGCTGAACTAGGTTCAATCCCCGGCATCTCGTATGGTCCCCCAAGCAACACCAGGACTAATTCCTGAGTGTAGAGACATGAGTAACCCCTGAGCATCACCAGGTGTGACCCAAAAAGCCAAAATGAAGGAGTAGTGCTGGAAGGATAGTACACTGAGTAGGGCACTTGCCTTGCATGTGGCAGAGCACAATTTGATCCCTAGCACCAAATATGAAGTAAGAGTGACCCCTGAGCACTGCCAGGTGTTTGCGGGAGAGAAGGCTGTCATCAGCCCTGCACCTGCTCAGAGGTTGGCGCTTTGGTTTGGTCATTGACTCTGAATGGTCACTACCTGAGACACTGAGCATCAGTGCACCAGCCAAGAGTGACACTCCAAGAGTGACATGCAGGCTTGGCAGGGGGACAACTGGCAGCAGTGGGCAAGACAGAGGAGCTTCCCTCTACTTTGTAAAGGGAGAAGACCAGGGGATTCCCTCCCCATCCCGCTTACTTCTTCCTGGGAGAAGAAAAGCGAAGAAAACCAGAGAGAGGGAGAGGTTGCAGAGCAACCAGCCCCAAAGCACCTGGTAGGAACCATCTTCCTTGAGCAAAACAGGACCGACAGACCCCACCCGACTCACCAGGTGTCCCCTTGGTCAAACGGGCCTTTTGAACAACTAGGCCCTGCAGCCTGGCATCTGAGTGACATTATTGGGATGTTACACTCTTCCCCTCTCCCCGCATAGCCCTCTTTTTGGGCCATATCCTTGGTGCTCAGGCATTCCTCCTGACTGGGCTCTGGGCCCTACGAGGGGAATCTGCAGCTCAAGTGCCCTACCCACTGTCCTTTTTCTTGGCACAGTCATCTTTCCCCGCTCCAATGTTACGGATGTATCCCAACGGTTGTTCTGGTCACTCCTAGAACACAGCCTATCTCAAACCTCAGCAGTGTAAATGCAGCTTTTGTCTAACCAGGTGTTTAGAATTCCCAGGTGCCTGTAGGTTAAATCCTCTTTTCACTTTTCTTCAAATGTAATTTTTTTAACCTTTACAATGGGCCTTAATGATTTTCACGTGGCTGACCTGGGTCCATGCCCAGACCCCGTGAAGGCAGAGTAAGGGGTAAGACCTGAACACTGCCAGGTATGGCCCCCAAACCAAGCAAACAAACCAAAAACCCTTTTGGGAGCTTGAGTGATTTCTCCAGGGGCTTCCTTCTTTCAAGGGGAGAGCTTTCCTTTGGGCACAGAAGAGCTGCAACCCACCTCCATTTGAATTACAATGCCAGCCTCTTTGTTAAATGCCATGGGTCCTGGAATTCCTTAAGAGATTTGAGTAATGTAAAAACTCTTATCTTGAGGTTAGCAATTTGTTCACACCCAGGGCACATCCTACCTAAAGTCCCCCAATAGAAATACACTGTTTGATCAGCCAGGATGCTGGAATTACCAGGAACACACCACAAGGCACCCTGCCCTGTCTTAATTTACTTCAGCTATAAATTTCTCCTACATTGAAGGTAACCGGCTTGGCCTTCTTGTCCTCTTTGTTTTGGACAAACTTGCAGGCTATCGAATGTAGCCTGCCCACAGGGCAGAGTCTGGCAAACTCCCCGTGGCGTACCAAATATGCCAAATACCAGTAACAATGATGGGTCTCATTCTCCTAAAGAGCCTTGAATATAATCTCAGGGTTAGGATGAAAGAGGGGCCTGCTCGAGGCAATCGACGAATAACAGGATGATGAAATGAAATGAAATGAAATGAAGGTAACCTGGGAAGAATTTTCACTGTCTTTTTCCTCCGACCACCCTGAAACTATGAATAATCAAGTTTCTTCTTTTATTCAAGTGCAAATAGAAGATTGTTTTTAATTTTTAAAAATTGAATCATCATGAGATACACAGTTATAGTTATTCAAGATTGGATTTCAATCATATGTTCCAACACCTGTACCTTCACCAGGGGACATTTTCCATCACCAACGTCCCCAGTTTCCCTTTTGCCCCCATCCCCACCTCTATGGAAGGCCCTCCTCCTCCTCCTCCTCCTTCACTCTTCCCCTTCCTCCTTCTCCTCCTCCTCCTCTTTGTCATCTTCTCTTTCCCTCTCTTTCCCCTACTTTCTCTCTTTCTTCCACTCTCTCCCCCCCGTCTCCTTTTGTGCATTATGGTTTACAATACGATACTGAAAGGTCATCATGTATATCCCTTTACAAACTTTCAACACTCAGTTCTTGTCTATCGTGATTATTTCCAACTATTATTGTCATAATACTCCCTTCTCTATGGTCTGTTCTCTATACTAACTTCCCTCCACCCCAACACACTTGTGAAAGCTTCCAACCATTGACCAATCCTCCTGGCCCCTGTTTTCGCTCACCTTAGATATTAGTCTCATAGCGATAGCACAGCGGGTAGGGCGTTTGCCTTGCATGCAGCCAACATGGCCGACCCGAGTTCAATTCCTCCGCCCCTCTCGGAGAGCCCGGCAAGCTACCGAGAGTATTTGATGTGCCAGACACAGTAACAACAAAGTCTCCAATGGAGACGTTACTGGGCCCGCTCGAGCAAATCGATGATCAACGGGAGGGCCTTTACCTTTAATATTTTTATATCCCACAAATGAATGATGCAACTCTCTATCTGTCCCTTTCCTTCTAACTCATTTCACTCAGTGTGATACTGTCCATGCATATCCATTTATAAGCAAATTTTATGTCTTTATTTTTCCTAATACCTGAGGACTATTCCATTGTGTAGATGTACCAGATTTTTTTTTTATCCAGTCGTCTCTCCTTTGGCACTTATATTGTTTCCAGATTCTGGCTATTGTGAACAGTGCTGCAATGAACATAGAATTGCAGATCACATTTCTGCTGTGTGTTTTTGGTCCCCCAGGTTATATTCCAGAAGTGGTATTGCTGGGTCAAATGGGAACAAAGGCACATGAGAAAATGCTCTACATCATTAATCATCAGGGAGATGCAGATCAAAACAACGAGATATCATCTCACACCACAGAGACTGGCCCAAGTCCAAAAGAACAAAAGCAACCGGTGTTGGTGCAGATGTGGTGAGAAAGGGACCCTCCTTCACTGTTGGTGGGAATGTCGACTGGTTCAGCCCTTTTGTAAAACAGTATGGACGATTCTCAAAAAATTAGAAATTGAGCTCCCATTTGACCCAGCAATACCACTCCTGGGAATATATCCCAGAGAGGCAAAAAAAGTACAGTCGAAGTGACATCTGCACTTGTTTGTTCATTGCAGCACTCTTTACAATAGCCAGAATCTGGAAAAAACCTGAGTGCCCGAGAACAGATGACTGGTTAAAGAAACTTTGGTACATCTACACAAAGGAGTACTATGTAGCTGTTAGAAAAGATGAAGTCATGAAATTTACATACAAGTGGTACTACATGGAAAGTATCATGCTAAGCGAAATGATTCCGAAAGAGAGGGACAGACATAGAAAGATTGCATTCATCTGGGGAACATAAAGTAACAAAATAGGAGACTAACACCCAAGAATAGCTAAAATAAGTATCAGGAGGTTCACTCCATGGCTTGGAGGCGAGCCACACATGCTAGGGGAAAAGGCAGCTCAGATAGAGAAGGGAGCACCAAATAAAGGTGTTGGGAGGATCCTCCCAGTCTGGGAGATGCATGCTGAAAGTAGACTATAGACCGAACATGATTGCCACTCAATACAAACCACAGCACCCAAAAGGAGAGAGAGAACAAAAGGGAATGCCCTGCCACAGAGGCAGGGTGATATGGGGAGGATGAGGGGTGGGAGGGATACTTGGATCAGTGGTGGTGGAGAATGGGCACTGGTGGAGGGATGGGTACTCGATCATTGTATAATTGAAACCCAATCACAAAAATTTGTAAGTCTACAGCTGCACCTCATGGTTTTTCACTAATAATTTTTTTTTTAAAAATGGGAGCTCATCCCATTTGACCCAGCAATACCACTCCTGGGAATATATCCCAGAGAGGCAAAAATGTATAGTCGAAGTGACATCTGCACTTGTTTGTTAAACTGGAAGAAACCTGAATGCCCAAGAACAGATGACTGGTTAAAGAAACTTTGGTACATCTACACAATGGAGTACTATGTAGCTGTTAGAAAAGATGAAGCCATGAAATTTATATACAAGTGGTACAACATGGAAAGTATCATGCTAAGCGAAATGAGTCAGAAAGTGAGGGATAGACATAGAAAGATTGCATTCATCTGGGGAATATAAAGTAACAAAATATGAGATTAATACCCAAGAATAGCTGAGATCAGCACCAGGAGGATTACTCCATAGCTTCGAGGCCAGCCAGGCATTCTAGGGGAAAGGGCAGCTCAAATAGAGTAGGGAGCACCAAATAAAGGATGTTTTGAGGATCCTCCCAGGAGGGGAGATGCATGTTGAAAGTGGACTATGGACTGAACATGTTTGCCACTCAAAGCCTCTTTTGCAGACCACAACACCCAAAAGGAGAGAGAGAACACAAGGGATTGCCCTGCCACAGAGGCAGGGTGGGATGGGAGGGATAGGGGTGGGAGGGATATTATCCATGGTGGTGGAAAATGGGCACTGGTGGAGGGAT